GTGTGTTATGAATAAATTTTCTTTTTTTCGGTACCGGTACTAGTTTTATTTTGTTGTATTTATTCGCGACACCTTAAAGGCCGGTCCATGAAAATATTGTCGGGCATAAACCGGTCCGTGGCGCAAAAAAGGTTGGGGACCGCTGCTCTTATCGTATCGTAATCGAGATTAAAATTCGATTAATTGAGCAGCCCTAGTCGTAGTTACATGCGGCTGTCTTCTTATTTGATAGAGTGATACCATATATGCCCTATAACTGCAGAAAAGGCTAACATTGTTATCTTTTTACAAAAAAACAGCTAAACATGAGAGGTTTTAAGACAACGTTTGTGTTTTCCATTGTTTAAGCACTGGCTCCAACCAAAGGAGGTAGGTTGTATCAACAGGCTAACTTGGTTATCATTTTTGCAGAAAAAAAAGAGACTGCTAAAAATAAAAACATAAAAGGTTTTTGAACAAAGTTTGTGTTCTCCATTCTTTAAGCACCTGTTCGAGCACCGTTTAAGCACCGGCATCGTTTCAAAAGTACCAGTTTGGCACTGGTATCGGATAAAACCTAAACGATACCCATCAATATTGGAATTGGTAATGGCAATACTAGCTCTATATTTACTTAAACTTTGCAGTATTGCATAGCACTACTGAACCACAGTGCTGTGTGTTAATGACAGAGCACATTTAAAGCTCTGTAGTTACTGAGTCAGCAGAGTGTTGGAGACGTTTACGCACCATGAACTTCAGGTCTCCACTCTAACTGTGCGGCCGAGCTCCTCTTGGTTCCGAAACACGTTGCAATAATAGTGCTTAAAGCTACGTGCGGAAGATCTCCAAGAGAAGAAATTTCACATACTGACTCCTTTCGGTGGTGACATCACGTCAGAGCGTCATGCTCAAATTCATTCAGCTTTTCAGAACGACCCATTCTTTCAACAGTGTTTGTAAAGGCAGACTGGGTGGCCAGGTGTTTCATTTTATACGCCTCTAGCGTTAGGATGTAGCATCGACTTTCCAAGCATTGTTCTGTTCAGTTATGACACTTAGTAAAACTGCATGCAGTGTCCCCCCTCCCTCATGTTCTACGACAGCCTCCTTGCAAACCTGATGTGCTGTTAATATAACGTATGGAAAGACAAATATTTTGATAATATTCTTATTATAACATTTTGAAAATGACTGGGGTCATGCAAGCAGAACATTTTGACTTGATATTTATGATTCAGACAAGGCCTCCATGAATACATGTGGGGATATCCTGGTACCATTCAAGGTTTTAGTACCATTCTGTGGACATGTATATAGTAGGGGTGCAACGATACACAAAATTCACGGTTCGGTTCGATACTTTGGTGTCACGGTTTGATATTTTTTCGATACAAAAAAATGTTTATGTCTTTTCATTTGTCACTTATTAAAATTATAAATATATATTTTAACTCAAAAGTACAGTTTTTAAATGTAATGTTGCTGAAACAACAAAATAATTAAAAAAATAAAATAAATCTATCTGATCGAGAAAACACTCATCTTTGGAAAAGAGAGTTTATTACAGAGAAATGGCTCTTTCCAAAATAAAAGCTATACTATACGCTTCTTCTGGGCTATAATCTCAGCAGCATATTAAACATATCAGGTCCCCATAAGGAGAATCATGTGCTAACGGCTGTCTAAATGACTCGGGTAAAGTTTGTAGCATTAATCTCGTTAAAATGACATTAATGCCATAACGCCGCAAATCTCCGTTAACGAGTTACCGCAGATCGCCCCGCGCGTGGGGCTGGACGGCGTCAACACGTTAACAAGCTAACTGCGCTAACGCACTAGTTCCCACCAATTGAGCATTGCGTGGCACATCCGACATACTGTTTTACTTTTGTCCATGACGCCCTTACCTTCAGGGTCATACTTCACATGAAAACCAAGATAGTTCCTCATCTGAATGAGGGTGGGGGAGGTTGAATTTCGGGTAGCGTTGAGGCAGTTGCCATGTTGCAACTAGCTTAGCTTTTGTCTTGCTAGCTTGCCCTGCGCTCAGTGGATCTGCACTCGACAGTGCAGCCTAGGCGGAGTAGTTGAACGCAGATCCACTGAGCGCTCAACACAGACAGCATCGTCAGAAGGAAAGTTGATAAAATAAATAAAAAATGTTGTATTGTTCATACATATGCGTACCGAACCGAAAGCACTGTATCAATGGTTCAATATTGATACGAGTATCGTTGCACCCCTACTATATAGCACAATCATAATGTGTAATCTGTTGATTTGTTTTGCCTCTTGTCTTAAGGGCTCTGCAAGCCCACATTTCTGCACAGAAGGAGAAACACACCTGGATATCAGCAGGCCTGTGGATAAGCACTGCCAGAAGGTGATTGAAAGAATGAAGAAGTGAGGAGTGTTTATGTGGTTGAACAAGACAACCGTCATTGGAAAACTCCAAAACATAATCTAATGCACAGAAGAAAAACAGCAGAAGAGGCTCCACTTTGGCATATGTTGATGTGCTTAACATAGAGTTAGGGCATTATTATCTGAGCATACAAAACTGCATGTAATGAAAATATGTTTTATTTTAATTAGCTACATAAATATTGTGAATTTTGTCTTCTTTTTTTAAAAAGAATGTTTTCTAGTTTTCCTGCCGTGGCATATCAAAGTGTTTTCAGTGAAACCTTAATCAGACGCTTAACGTGCAGGATCTTGATTCTAATCATAATTTTAACGCAAAAGATCAATGTTTAAAACCTGACATGCAACATGAAAAATATCGATACATTCCCAATAAAATTACAAACCATGGGGGGTTTCCCTGGCTCATTCCCCATAATTGGACCACATCAAGTAGAGACCTCATGTCTCATGTGGGGTAAAAATAGCTTCTCTGTATAGCTCCTGCATGCGTAATCTTGCTAAGAATGTATTATTTAGCAAGTTATTTAACACTAACGCAAACCCCAGCAACATGCCTCATCCGAAATTAGCTGCATTAAAGTGTCTTTATAATGAATGGCTATTTTTGTCTCAACATAACAATGAGCTCTAAAATATCTTAGCAATTAACTGAGCCTTTCACAGCTATCATACAGACATCAGTTAGCAGAAAATTAGCTGTCACCTACATTGATAATTGTGTAGTCATCCTAACAGGCTTTATTGCCGGAGACCTGCTGCTTTTCTTTTTCTTATGTGAAAATGAATATTTTTAGATTTTAGTTTTTGTTTGTTAAAAATGTCAGCCTGAACTTCTGATGGCTCGGTGTTGTCCTGATTTAATAAACGTGGTGTCAGTGTTGTGCAGGGCTGACTGAATTTCAGAGCTTGGGGGAGAATTAAGACGGGTACACCATCAGTGCCGGTAAGCTCACCTGGTCTCTGGGTTATATCCAAGGATATAGAAAAAGGAGTCCATGCGGGCTTTGAACTCCCGGGCAGCGAAAATGTCAGAGAAATGGGAAATGTTGCATTTCCCCCTGCAAGAGAGCAGACAGGCTTTATTAGACAAAAACAACCAACATGACAAAGTGACACCCCAGCATGAGCACAAGTAGCCCTAATTAGAGGCTTCTGGTATGTTCGCCTACAGGAGGGGACAAGTGCGACAGCAGGTATCTGCTGCTTGTCAGCACCTGCTGACTTTTGCGGTGAAATATCAGGCTCTGGCTACTTAAGCCGTAAACACCAGCTGAACATGTCAGCGTTGCCTCATCTGCTGCAGACGCGGAGATCTGGAAAAGGAATTCAACCTGCCTGTCTCCCCTCCTAGCACGTTTACCCCCCAGTGAGCCGTAGAGGCCACGGCTCTGACCACATCTTGATGCCATTTCCTGTTTCCAGCACCCTGGTGTCTGGCTCTATCAAAATAACAGACATCACAGCCATATGTAGCTGGGCTGCGTTGCAGAGAAATAGTATCTTCCTCCCCCTGAAAAGATTAAAGGGTGCTAAGGAGAGCCGTCTTTGGAGAGCTCAGAGCTGCGGCATTACAGCATCCCACTGGAATTCCCTCCCGTTTATCTAAAGCCCAGAGAAAAAGACAAATCAAAGGGAGCTCTGTGTAGGAGAAGTTGCAGCTAATTTTCCCTAAAATCTGTGGTTTCTGGAAGACATGGCTTTACCGCTTGCAGATGGTTTTGATTAAAGGAAAGGGGAAGAGGAGGGAAAAGGAGGGGAGGGGTGGTCAGCCAGGAGGGAGGAAGAGACAGAGGCAGGGACAAAGACCGAACAAAGCGTATTTGTTTCTAGACAAAGAAAATTATTAAGTCGGCGAGCATTTCCAAAGACATTAAATATATACAGAGGAGGCGCTATAGGCTGCTCTCTAGCAGCTTGTGCAGGTGTGTATTGATGCAGAGCTGTTTTAATCAGTGTTTTAATGTTCAACAGCATAGAGGCATGCGCCTCAGTTATGGCTTTGTATCTTTACACATCTGCTCTATTTTGGCAGCACCTGCTAAAACCAGTAAAGCATGCTATATGATCACTTTAGGATTGTAAAAATGAAATAGCTCAGTGTGTAGTGCTATAAAGCAATTTGGTATCAGAGCAACATAATTATTCATGGAGAGGTGGCAGAAATATGGGGATAATGGAGGTTTACGGCTCAGAAGGCTAAGGGATAAATAAAATACACTACATTATATCCTGAGTCTGGTTCAGACCTGCCATATGTTTTATGATAGCAGTGTTTCAATTAAAAGAAAAGGGAACTGGTTTGAATTAGTCAGCAAAAGTATAATATTTGCTTCTTCTTTTTTTTCAAATTTCTGATTAAAAGGCATAAGATTATCTTTATCTTGCTGACAGAAACACAAAATCATAGCAGAAGGTGCCACGAAAGAATGACATTTCTGTAATTTGTATACAAAGGCACCAAAATCCACAAATAAAAGCTGCTACAGTGACACTGTTATAAACTCAAATACTGTAATAGCCTAGATGTTACTAGAGCTCTAGAAGCAGAAATCTCGGTGTAGAAAAAACCTGTGAAACCTGTGCTGAAAGTATTCCATTTTCTTCTGTAGCACTGTTTAGAAAGCGTCCAGTCTTTATGTGCGGTTTTGTTTGCTCATGTGTGGGTTTGTTTACCTGAGAGCAGCAGCGTGATAAGTGTCCACGTAGTCCGAGATAAAGAGTTCTCGACTCCTGACCACTGGATCCGTGATGACCAGCTCCCGGCCAGAGTCTGCAGGAGGGAATAGTGCCTGTGGTCAGTCTACATCATATACATATACATAATCTGTGACAAAAATAATGATTTGAGATAAAGTAGCTCTGACTGTAAATCACAAAAGCATCAGCACAATTCTGTGTTTACCCACAGTAACAAGCACCTCTGTGGAATATTGCGCCATAATTCAATAAATAGTTCAATTCAATAAAGCCAGTAATATGTTATTCCTTCAGAAGAGAGCATAATGTTCAGTTCTCCAGTGAAATGACCTCTATGGTAGTTACGATGCATCACTGGCAACAAGAGGAAGTTGGGACTTGTCTTTGACAAATGACCTGAGCTGTGGCCAGTGAGCTCCGGCCTTGTGACATCAATTCTAATAGTCCAAGTCCCTGCTGCCAGGACAGACTGCTGATAGTATAGCACTGTGTGGCACAATCCTTGTATTATCGTAGAAAAAGAAAATGGCACAACACCACACTTAGCTATAACCCTGATCCTATCTGGATTTTTTGTTTGGTTAGGAGGCTGTTTTTACAGCGTGTAAAGGTAGAGATGATTGTACTGCGAGGCAAAGAAAAGCCGAGCCACTGGGGGCACTCCGGCTAACAAGAACTGCCAACTGTGAACAGGATGTGTCAACAGGTGAGGTGTGTTATTTTATCTCAGTTTGAAGAGAAAATTGCAGTTTATAATCAGGCTGATTTCCAGGAACACACACATTTAAAAGGCTAAAATTAAACTTGTGCGCAACGACAAAGTGTTCAGAACACCGAGTAACACTTAACTACAAAACTAATTGAACTTTAACAATGTTTATAGGACACAGACTTCCTGCTGCAATAAAACCAAGTAGAGTAGTTGACAGAACACAGAGAACACAGATATATGTAGCCATGGGGTACATGGAGAACAGGTCAGCTAGTTTCTTTAATTACACTTAAACTACTGAGTGGGTTTGAACATGTTTCAACTGGAAAAAAAAAAGTTAAGTAAAAATAATAAAGCAGTAAAAAATAAAAAGCCCCAAAGAAATGTGGGAATGATTAGAATAGCAATAGTGTGGAACCGTGGACGAAATACGGAGCTAAAACTATGGCTAATAGCTGATTTACTTTACATTATGGATAAGTAGCTTATGTCTAGCTAATAGTAACAGACAAATGTATTAAGTTGCTAGCTAAACACTCTAGATCAGGGGTAGGCAACTCCAGGCCTCGAGTGCCGGTGTCCTGCAGGTTTTAGATCCCACCCTGGGTTAACAAACCTGAATCAAATTATTAGTTTATTAGTTTATTAGTTTACCAGACCTCTGGAGAACTTGCTGAGGAGTCATTTAGCCCTTTAAATCAGCTGTGATGGATCATGGACACATCCACTCGAGGCCTGGAGTTGCCTACCCCTGATCTAGATGAACAACTGAGGACTAAGCTGTTATAAATGATTACATTTCAAAACAGTAAGGCTGACAACTCAACTTGTGAGCTCATCATTTTGTTTACCAGTTGAATTTGCTTAAAGTTTGGATAAACAGTTGAGCATACAATAAGAGTTTGTGTTCATAAATGTATTGATAAGCACTTTCAAGCCGTCTGAATTTCACCTTCTCTCTCCTTTGGCTTGTTTATCCTTTCTCTCTATGCCCTCCTTTTTCCTTTTCCCATCACCCCGTAACCACTTGCAGCAGAGGAGCCTCTCTGAGCCTGGTTCTGCTGGAAGTTTCTTCCTATTCAAAGGGAGCTTTTTTCTTCCAATCATAACCTAGTGCTTACTCACAGGGCGAGGTCATCTGATGTTTGGGTGTTCTATCTAATACTGCAGGGTCTTTACCTTATAGTATAAAGCTCCTTGAGGTGACTTGTTTTGAACTGGCTTTGGTTTTGACTCTGAATCCAAAAGGATGATATGATATTGGTTTAGTGATATAACTAAACAATTACTCATTTACCTGTTGCAGGCCGTTCACAGATTTGCATGTATGATTGATGGCTTCATTAATTAAAAATATGTTTTTAAAAAATACTAATATAAATCTAAAAACAATGCATTAGAGTGCTGCGAGGACACCCATTACTCCAACTATGTTAAATTTCTCTCAGGATTTGATATTCAGTGGCTGCAGATCACTGACAGGCTCGTGTTCCTGTAGATGTGAATGTGCTGAGAGTGTGATGAGTCCACTGGCGCTGACTGGGTGGAGAGCGTGTACACTGAAGGGCCACATGACACTGCGGGTTATTAACACTCCACTGTGCTGCTGTCTGGCCTGAAGGAGTGTTACCCAGGGAACCAGCACAGAGCCACGGTATTGGCTCGGCTGCCGGGGACACGGCGCGGAGAGCAGAGCCAGGTGTGTGTGTGTTTGTAGAGGAGGAACAGCACAGAAAATTAACTGGATTTACTCTCTTGCGTGCACGTGAACATGTACACGTGCACATGTGATCGATCAATCGGCGGCCTCACCGTTCTCATTGTTGCGATCCTGCACCAGGTGCTGGTAGACGGAGTCGGGCACCTCTGACTGGCGGTAGTACCATTTCACATTCATCAGCAGATGGTCCCGTTTACTCTGCGACACAGAGGAGACACAAAGTGAGTGAGCAGGAGACTAAAAAGATCCCACGCTAAGATAAACAGACATCGTTCTGTTTGATTACGACGTCACAAATTGGCCTTTTGGCAAAGAACGGAGCTGTGCAGATGCACCGTTTATGGCTCACGCAGGCTGATGCCAAGACGCATGCAGAGAGACCAAGTCAATTAAAAACGGATTGTGGGGCATTTAGAGTCTTAATAAAGTAAACAGTGGGATGGCCGTCGCTGGAGGAAGTATGGAGTGAGAGGAACCATGTGGGGAATGGATGAGTGTTCAACCTATGGCTTGTGCAAATCAATCCTTTGCCTTGATTTCACTTCACTTAATGATAAAACTCTAATAAGCCATTATGTATTTAACACACTACCAGGGCTTTATAAAGCTTTTTGATGCACATGTACAGTATCAAGTTTTCTATGCCTTTATGTGCTGCCACCCACTGGCTCTTTGATAAAATGCAAGTCAGCAAATCTCTTTTAATCCTTCAGATGGCCAGCAAGTGGCAGCACTGAGGTTAGAAGAGAGCCTTTCCACAGGGCGAGTCAATGAAAAAACACACAGTGGGAAGGGGGAAAAAACAGCAGGGGGGGAAGGTGTGGGGAGAAAATGGTAGAGACTGACACTAGTGCTGAGGTGAGGGATGAAAAGGGCAAAATACTGTTTTCATTTCATGTTATAAAATATTTATTGTGACTGCACATAAACCCAACTGACCGTCACAGTGCTTTGAAAGAACATTAGAGAGACTGCCAGGGTGGGTGCTGGACTGCGACACAATCCCGTTGGCCCCAGCCATCTTTATTAGGGGCTCTGCTGCACTGCACTGAACTAACAGACCGAGACACCTGCACCGACACCGCCGATGGAGTACGGGAGAAAAACCACAAGAGGAGAAAATAAAAAGGTGGGGGAAGATACTTCAGTAATCCAAGGCAGACAGTTTAACATCCACCCTTTCCAGGCTCTTGTGTATACGTGTGTGTGCGTCGCAAGAAACATGAGGTCAGGGTAAAGATATTTAAAGCCTTTGGAGTACATTGTTCTGTTATGTCACAGGGGAGGAGACTGAGAGCACACGCAGCCAAGCAAATCATCACCTCCCCTTAAACCTCGAGACCACCTCTGGTTTTCTCACTCCTTCCATATTCCATACCCCCCCCCCACACGCCATTCTTCCACTGTAAACCTTTTCACTCCACCACTTTTTGTTTTTTCATTTCTTTTCCTTCCTCAAACCTTCAGCAGGGAGGAGGAATGAGTGAGTAAGTGAGCCTGGACGTGTTAAACAGCAGCTGGCATGCAGTCAAGTCAGCTGCATTTACTGCTCTGGATGATTATATGCACGCAACATCGCACAAGCAACACACACACACACACACTGCTTGTGATCCAACACTGATGGAGTAAGACACAGTCCCCCCCCCCAGCAGTAAGGCGTACTGTGTGTGTAGAAATGTGTGCAATGACGTCATGCCACTCCCCCTCCCTCCAAGCAGTCAGCCCACCCTTCCATACCTCTCGTCTATCCAATGTACAGACACAGTTGCCTTCTAGACTAACAGGGCTGCCTGCCACAGCGGAACGAGTAGTTATCCGGTGCTTATACATAATTAATACTTTAAAGGCAGACTGTAAATGCTGCCGGTGTGCCACCCGAACATCTCATTTTCTGTCTGTAAAACCCACAAAATGCAGAGCCTGATGCAAACAAAAAGGCACAGGCAGACAGAGAAGATGCAAAGACGAAAAAGAAGACAAACAAAAGCGCGGGTTGTACGTCTCATTCATTAGCCCGCATCGTTTCAAACCAACCAAAGCAGAGACCAAATGTTGCTTCCACTATCATCAGCATCCTCGTTGCTCGAGAGTAGCCGCCAATCTCCAGAGCAGATTGCTGTTATGAAGCTCACAGCGGCGTTAAGCCCTCTCAGGCAAAAAGAGGGAGGGAGACGGAGAGAGACTCTGAGAGTGCAACATATGGAGCACGTAGTGGGAGTGGAGCGCAGCTTTCAATTATCACAATTCCATAAACATGCGGGGTGGAAAAATGAGTAGATAACACTGGGAGAAAAATGAAGGGAGATGATAGACAGCTCAGACTCGCCGCGCGAACTACTACTCGCATTGTCTGGGCTTTGCTGAGCCTGTCACAGAAAATGACAGAGGGAGAACATAAGAGCCACAATGCTGAATTGATTAGAGGCATTCCACGCTGCCTGTAGAGAGCTGAGCCCCGCGCGGTGTCGGCCATCTTTGTCTGTCCTGCCAGAGGCTAAACATGGCCCTGCCCTCCCCCTCCTCCTGAGGCCCTAAACCCTGGGAGTACCGCTCACTGCAGAGAGGCCAAAAGACTTACTGAGAGAAAGAAACGAGGTGGAGGGAAAGAGGTGAAGAAGCAGAGCAGAGGAGACAGAAGGGGAGAAATTAGGAGAGAGAAAGGAGGCAGATTAAGGTGAGAGCAGTAAAAAAAAAACCCATCTCATTTCTTCTCACTTAAAATCACAACTATCCTCCTCACCGCAACCCGCAGGGTACAAGACTGCCCCTTTATTCACTGAGGTGATATAAATCTGAGAGTCATGCTTTGGGGCTGAACACAATAGCACCTCCCCTCCCTCCCATGGCTCAGCTTGGCCTGTGGCATTCTTTTAGCACTCCTCAGACAGACAGGGGTTCAACTATTTCTCCAAAAGGATATTTATTAGGAAAACATAAAGTATGTTTCTTGTGGAACAAGCTTAAAAAAAAAAGAAAAGAGGCAAGAGTCACTGTTAATAAAAACGAATCAGTGCATTCATCACTGTCCTGAAAGCAGTCAAGACAAGACAAGCCAGTTAATTCTCCCCTTGACTAGCTAAAGATGGCTGGCCCCTCGGGACCATAATGGCTGTGCAGTTTTCTTTGTGCAGTCAACTCTGGAGCGAGGGCCCCTGTGTACGACCACAATGCTACAAAGACTGGGAGAAGAGGGATACACAGAGGGCAGACTTTTCTCTTTACGAGGAAAGGCTTTAAATGTGAAAAAAAAAACAACCCGGCTCCGTTATTCGAAGGAGAAAAATCAGTCAAAGATCGGAGAGCGCGGGATTAAGTCTGCGTTTTCAAGTGCGAGAGTGTAAAATCAATGCGGTGCTTTTCACCCCAAAAACCCCCCCAATCCCTGTAAGTGTTTGAGCAGCAACCGGCTTCTCTCGCGACCGTTCGCAGTGGCCTTTGCAATATGGCAGCCAGAGAGCGTTGTTACAACCTGTAACCCTCAAACCTAATGCCCTGTTCCGCCTCCTCCTCCTCTTCCTCCTTCCACTGTAACACTAGAGCTTTGCTTTAAACAATACCAGATCCTCCCTTCTCCCACACGACAGGCCCCCAGCGCACCTCGTTAACAGGAAACCTCTGTTTATTTTCTCTGCCTTTCAAACACGCTTCTTCCTCTGCAAACCCTGTTAGTGACCACCCCCTCGTGCACTGGCGACAACACCAGCCAGGATCTATGACTTCCTTCAGGAGGTGGCAACCAGAAGTAAAGAAGGAAAGACATATCCCAAACCCGCAGACAAAGGAGACGGCAGGGGAGGGAGGGAGGGAACGGGGGAGGTCATGCAGGCAACGGCAGCAGCAGCAGCAGCTCGGTGTTAGCAAGGAATGTCAAGCAGTTCAGCTAAGCTAGCAGGCTTGCTGAGCTAACAGCTTAGTTAACGAATGCCCCGAGGACAAGGGAGGCTCGAGTATGTGAGATCAGGGCTGGTAGTGGTGTTGACACACACACACACACACAAAATGGTAGGGAGGGCATAAAGTTGGAGTGTTCACCTAGCCTGTCGGAAGGGGAAATAAAGCACAACCAAAAGAACAAAAGGGCGATTGTGGCATTTGGAGGCAGAGATGGGATCTGGGAGGACTAATCTGCTGCTCCAACATGATAAGATTAGAGAAGGGGGAGGCAGGAAGAGCTGGCTGGGAAGATCACACGTACACTCGCGCAAGCACACAAAGATGATGGATATGATTGGGAGGGTTTTCCACTCGGCTTTTCTCTCTTCCCTATTTTCGTTCTTCCTCTCCCTCTGTTTCTCCCGCTCTCTTTGAGACGGAGAGATCTGCCAGCACACCAGCACTCAATAAGCACTTCCATCTGGACGGCACACACAGACACACTTAAAAAA